GTATCACTGAGAAATTTTAAATTTTTTCAAGTAAAAAGTTCATTAAGACTTTGTGCAAGTCAGAGTGGGGCAATATGAAAATAAACCAGAAACATCAGAAGTAAAGATGAAATAAACTGTAACTCATCTATAAGAAGAATCCAGTTACCAAGACCTATGGGTAGATTTGGATGAATTATCTGCTTTTCTCGAAGTTCAAGTCAGCCCCCAAACCTTGGTATTTACTTTGGGGGGAATCCTACATGGGAAAACCAACAAACCTGTCTGCAAATAACCCCTTATTATCACCAGTAGGCAACACCTAAAATGACGGAAGAGCAGGTCCCACATCCTTCAAAGATAGCTATCTGAAGGCAACTGCTGCTGGTGGGAGTGTGTGGGGAAGACAAGCAAGAAATTCACCAACCCAAGACACTGCACGGATGGAAGGCCATGCTCTTCTGTCCCTGCCGAGATGCAGGGAACACACCATACTCCAGACCCACCAGCAGCAGCAAGAAGCACACGATTTGGGAAAGATCAGAAATTTTATACAAGTCCAGCCCCCCAGATTCAGGCACATACAATCTCCCCAAGACTAAAGTTGAAACAGGAGTATCAAGTAATGTTTCTCTCCTCACTAGAATTCTTACTCCAAATACCAAAGGACAAATATCGGATCTCACAAGAGCTACTGAAATCTGAGAGTGTGACAAAAATACTGAGAAAATCCCAGTGCTTTCTGTATGCTGCCTCTGCTATGGCCTAGCTTATGAAATACCCTAAATTAATTTCGGGTGCTGGCCTAGAAATCTGATTCTTGAGTTCAACCTTACTGAATGGCTTATTTTTTGTTTTGTTCGGCAAATACTCTGTGCATGCAAACACAGTGGTAGGCATGGGCAAGATCTCACGGAGAACCCTGACTCCCATTACCATACGGTAGTAGCTTGGCAGGTAGGACCAGAGTTCATGTCTAAAGTCCACTGTCACGGAGATTTCTTCTTCCACAATAGCTCTTGATTGAGTCTTCACTTTTATTCCCACTTCCACCACCCCAGCACAAATGGTATTATATTGAACATAACTTGCAACACAGAAATTTGCCTGTTTGTGATCTCTCCCCTAGCTTTCTACACCATCCATAAAACCTTTCATAAATCTTTATTAAACTGCTTTTCTCATGCCAGCCCCTGTGCAAGAATCTTCAGTAGATTCCCAAGTCCTACATTCTGATATCCATGACACCAATGAAGACAAGCTAATCTATGGACAGTGCTGGAAGGTCTAACATAATAATTAGGAATATAAGATGGCACTACTTAAGCTCCATTCAAGTTTTAAAAAACAGGATAAAATTATAAGACTGAAGCCCATGGAGTTGCATTTGGAAAATGTTGTATAAGAGAACTATATCAGTGTCCATTCAAAAAGTATGAACTACACAGAGATGCAATAGTCCTCCATTATCAACCAAGGATATGTTTTAAGACATTCTGCAGATGCCAGAAATCATAGATAGTACCATATATATATACCATGGATACTTTTCACTAGACATACATACTTGTGATAGTTTCATTTACGTATTAGTCACGGCAAGAGATTTCTAAAAAAATCTAACAAAATTAACAATTATTAAAAATACAATGCTATTTAAAATATGAATTGCTTATTTCTGGATTTTCCATTTAGTATTGTCGGAACACAGCTGACTATCGATAACTGAAAATGCTGAAAGTCAAACCATATAATTTCAAATAAAACATAGTTAACTAAATAAAAAACTATTAAATAGTTTCACTGAAAGAGTACAGACAAGAGGTAGCAACTGCAAGAAACAGTTTTTATCCATAGGCTTGAGGGAACAAAGGGAAAAGGGTGAAATTGTTAAAACTTAGAAACTTGGAGGAGAGGCTTATGCTTGATGGTTAAAACTTCCATTCCATGATTTGTTTGCCCTTAACTAGGACTTCAGTTGTTTGGTGTCTTAGTTTGTTTGGGGTGCTATAACAGGTATTTCTCACAGTTCTGGAGGCTGGGAAGTGCAAGGTCAAGGTAGCAACGGCTTTTGTCTCTGGTGAGGGCTCACTTCCTGTTAATACAAGGCACCATTTCACTATGTCCTCACGTGACGGGAGGGACAGGCGGCTTTCTGTTTCTTCTTGTAAATGACATGTATAAGGGCTACATTTTAAATGTAATCATCTCCAAAAGGCCCCACCTCCTCCTTGGAGATTAGAAGTCCAACATAAGAATTTGGGGCATACCCAAGCATTTAGACTATTTGAGTAGTCCTGACAGGCTGAGAAAACCTCCAGGCCTGATGGGTCTGAATCCTTAGTACCCTGCTTTAGTCGCGCTAATTTTCCACTAGCTTTTACAAATGGACATGAAAGTATGAAGTATCCCTAGAAAACCCCATAATTTCCAATGGTGCCTCCACTGTATGACATAAGTCAATTTCCCTTACATTTCCAGATGTAAAGTACTGAATACGTTCTTTTGAATTGTTTTTGTTGTGTTTTGTTGACGAAATGCCAAAATATAGGCCGGTGCCACGGCTCACTTGGCTAATCCTCCACCTGCGGGGCCAGTACCCTGGGTTCTAGTCCTGGGTTGGGCACCGGATTCTGTCCTGGTTGCTCCTCTTCCAGTCCAGCTCTCTGCTTTGGCCCAGGAGTGCAGTGGAGGATGGCCCAAGTGCTTGGGCCCTGCAGCCGCATGGGAGACCAGGAAGAAGCAACTGGCTCCTGGCTTCGGATCGGTGCAGCACACCGGCCATAGCGGCCATCTGAGGGGTGAACCAATGGAAGGAAGACCTTTCTCTCTGTCTCTCTCTGTCTGTCTAACTCTGCCTGTCAAAAAAAAAAAAAAAAAGAAAGAAATGCCAAAATATTACATATATTAGATCAAACAGGAAATATGACATGAATTACACAGTAACTCTAAAGACCAGAACATTTAGAAATGGATTTGGTCTCAGAAACTAACACAAACTGTATCATTTATGGAAACTGATTAATAGTGCTTCACTGCTTCATCAGTGGCCAGCATTGTGGCCCAGTTGGTTAAGATACCACCCGCAACACCAACATCCTATATGATCACCAGTTCAAGTCCTAGCTGTTTCACTTCTGATCCAGCTATTTTACCTACTTCATATAGTCCTTACTACAACTTGCTAAGGTATGTATTATTGTCCCCATTTTACAGAAAACAAAACTGACCCAGATTGACTTGCCCAAAGCTATTCAAACAATGAACAACACAGCACCAAAACACACTTTTCTACTACCAAGTCTTGATTGTCACACCATTCCACACTATTGCTTATTATAAACAAAATTCATAGATATAGTAAATCAAATTATCCGATAGGATTACTACTTTAGTAATGTAAATAAATTCTGAGACATGATCTAAACTTTATGAGTTATGCTGATCTGTATTTTTAGTGATTCAGTTAACTTTTTCATCCTTATCAGATGTCTAGAACTCAAAGTTCAACAAATATTAATAAACATGATTTGTATAATCATTCCTTGTCCCTTTCCAAGAAAAAAGTCATTTTACAATCAGTGTTTCTGAAATTAGTATTTTTCCCTTTTTCTAACAGATGTAAGACACCTATTAGTTTGACTTACATTTCTTTTGTCTGTTATATAGTTTACACCTAGGTTTGTGTTGCACTACATCTTGACTGCATACATATTACAACACACTCATGGCTTCCTTTTGAAATGGCTCCTGCTCTATGACATTAGTGGTATGTATTAAAAACAGACAGTAGGGTGGCATGCTAAGATCCGGCAACAATGAATTCTATCACTTAGACCTTAAGTCAGATTCTCCCTTTCAAACTCCATTTCTGAACCTCATTTAACCCTTTCTCTCAACTAGTTAATACCAAATGCCTAGATCTTCATAGACTCCTTTGTCTGCAAAAGGATGTCCTTCTAAGTCATTGAGACTCTAGGCCAGAAGCACTCCAGGTACGGAAGGTATAACACTGAGCACAAGAGACTCAAATCTGCCGTGGGGGGAGTTTCTGTTCTACTGGGACCTCCCCATCAAAATTCTATCCTTGAGTGTCTTTGCTGGGATGAGGAAATTTCAGATTATGGTATACAAGGGATGGAGTTTTTGCTTAAAAAAAAAAAACTTATTAATTAAAATATCCTGACATAAGTGGGATGCATTTACCCTTTCCTCCTTTCTCCTGTGAAATGAATTTTTAATTTAAAAATATAATGATGTATTATGGAAAAACGTATAGGGATGTATAAAACTAAACTGTTGCATCAAAAATTCTCAAACATCATTAAACAGTTTCCATTTTCCCTTTCTGCATGAGTATGTTTCCTGAGGACACCACTGGGGTAAAAACTCTTGCTCAAGTTCGCACAGCCAGCAGGCCAGAGAGTAGAAACCCAACCCGACCTAACTTAATTCTCAGAGCAGGGTTCAAGGCCCTAAACTCGGGTTGTGTCAGCATGCATAGTATCCACACTGCTGGTGTGCAAGGTGGCACCATGCCACCTGCACAGCCCACGTTCCTACCTGGAGGTGAAACCCAGAAGCGTGCCGTCACCACGCTGCCACTGCGGTTGCTACAAAAACGAGGTCCACAGTTTCCAGTCACTCCTACCGTTGTGAAAAACGCGCTGTCTCCACACCACGCCGTCCTCACACTGCCCTCACTTGGCAGGGCAAAGGGAAGGCGCCATGTGTCCACGCCACGCCGCTGTTAGGTCCACACACAGCTTCCGGTCATTCCTGCTGTTGTGAAAACCAGCACCGCATCATCTCCATGCCGCCATCGTGGTTGTTATAAATACGAGGTCCACACACAGCTTCCGGTCATTCCTGCCGTTGTACACACCGCACCGCGCCGTGTCCACACGGCCATTCCGCGCCGCCCTCACACTGCCCCCAGTTGGCCGGGAGAAGGGAAAGCGCGCCACGTCTCCACGCCGCCATGTTAGGTCCACACACAGCTTCCGGTCACTACTGCCGTTGTACACACCGCACCGCACCATCTCCATGCTGCCATCATGGTGGTTATAAATACGAGGTCCACACACAGCTTCCGGTCATTCCTGCCGTTGTACACACCGCACCGTGCCGTCTCCACACGGCCATTCCGCGCCGTCCTCACACTGCCCTCACTTGGCGGGGAGAAGGGAAAGCGCGCCGCGTCTCCCGCTCCCGGAGCTGCAGGGCTCCCGAGCGGCTCGCGCACGTCAGTTCCCTCGTCAGCCTCCGCGACGCCCCGGACTGGCGCCCGGGCTGGGCCTGCGGCGCGGCGCCTCCCTCCGCCATGGCTGCCCTCCGGAAGAAGCTGGTGGTGGTGGGAGCCGGCGCCTGCGGCAAGACGAGCCTGCTGGTGGTGTTCAGCCGCGACCACTTCCCGGAGGAGTACGTGCCCACGGTGTTCGAGAACTACGTGGCCGACGTGGAGGTGGACGGCCGGCGGGTGGAGCTGGCGCTGTGGGACACGGCCGGCCAGGAGGAGCACGACCGCCTGCGGCCGCTGTCCTACCCGGACACCGACGTCGTGCTCCTGTGCTTCGCCATCAGCAGCCCGGACAGCCTGGAGAACGTGCCGGCCAAGTGGGCCCCGGAGGTCCGGCACTTCTGCCCCGGCGTGCCCCTCGTCCTGGTGGGGAACAAGAAGGACCTGCGGAACGACGCGGGCACCAGGCGGGCGCTGGCGGCCTGGAAGCAGGAGCCCGTGCGGCCTGAGGCAGGCAGGGACGTGGCCAGCAGGATTGGCGCCTTCGGCTACCTGGAGTGTTCGGCGAAGACCAAAGAGGGCGTGAGGGAGGTGTTTGAGATGGCCACGAGGGCTGCTCTGCACGCCAGACGCGGCAAGAAGAGGTGGGGCTGCCTGGTCCTGTGAAACCTTGCGGCTCGGTGCGAGTGGCGTGTTCGCTGGGCTTCCTGTCTGCTTATTGGCGTGTTTTTTTTTTTTTTTTTTTTTCATTTATCAGTGGTTTACCAAAGACTGCAAACCGGAAGTCACCTTGCTACAGCGTTTAGAAGTCAACCATGGTCAATGATATCCAACTCGGCCACCACCACCATCCCCCCCCCGCCACTGCCCTGTACCCTAACCCTGCCTGACACAGCAGGTGCTGTGAATTTCTTCACTTCTTTCTTGAAAGAGAAAGCAGGTGTCTCTTGTGAATCAGGTTGGAACTACTTTAAAACCAGCATCCCACCTGGCAGCTGCAGGGTACTCTGATGCGTTACCACTGCGGAGCTTTGCTCCTTAGCAGATCTCATTGGTGTACCTCTGGGTATCCAGTTTGTTTCAAAAAAAAAAAAAAGGGGGGGGGGGAGTGGGGACTCAACCAGCAAGACCCAAGTCCATGCGGCTGTGGCAGAGTTACAGCTCTGTGGTTTCAGGTTTGTTACCTTATGGTTCCTGTGTAATTAGTGCCACTTAATGTATGTTACCAAAAGTAAATATATCTACCCCAGGCTAAATGTGGTTTTGGTATAATTGGATTGCATAATACCGATATTTGCCAACCCTTCAGAATGTGTATTGGCTTGTAAAAAAAAAAAAAAAAAAGTAGTGTTTGAAAAAAATTGAGATTGAAGTTTCAATTTCAGTTTTGAAATTCCCACTGTGTTACTATCTCTGGTAAAAGATAACCACATCACTTGTTTTCTACCTATATCAGTACCTGTTTCCAGAGATGAGCTAAGTCAATAGGACTTTGTTTTCACACCTGAGGCAATTAGAATCTGTGGAAGGTGCTATAATCTCTCTCACCTGGCCTGCAGGCTCTGGCTGTAATTCACAGCGCTTTTTCTCTTCACTGGGTCTAGGTTCCCTCACAGAGAAATTGCCAATCTTAAAGGTGGAACTTGATTTCCCGCTTCTCTTTAGTGGACTAATTTTTTTCCCCTGTACTTGTTAATTTTTCCAACTAATAAAATAAAGGTAGTTTCAGCCCCAAAAACAGTGCTGAAGTTTTTTGAAACCTGAAATGGCAAGAAAGGTGGTAATGGAGGACAGATTTCAATGTCACTGTTAGTCTAAATTATTAAGCAACCAGATAGGATTTATAGAGATTTAAAATATATCTTCATGGTGGGAATAAACAAACATTATCTTGGTTTGTAGCTCCATTCCGAATTCTGTAAAACACTGGTAGAAATGGTTTGCAAACTTGTTCAGTACAGGGCCACATCATAAGTATCTTAGGCTTTACAGACCATTCTTTGTTGTGTATTCTTTTTTTGGTGGTGTATTTTATTAACAACCCTTTAAAGAAATAGAAAGCATTCTTAGCGCTATGCAAAAACAGGCCCCAGGCCAAATTTAGTCCATTAGCTGTAGTTTGCTGTCCCCTAGAAATGGGTGTCTGGTTCCACCACAACCTTCTCTGCTATTGTCTACATAAATGTCTAAGATGTACAAGGTGAACTTTTTCACTGGAAGTTTTGTGACTGGCCGAAACAGAGGTAAACTTAAAAATTCTGATTATATTTTTTCTTTTAAAAATGCTCATGTTACAAAATAAACAGATACAGCGATTTCATGCTATATTAACATAAAGAGATTCTTTGTTTTTCTTTCACTTATAAAAGTTCAAGAAATACTTTTAAATTTTCAAATTGAGTACTTTTTTACAACAGTAAGTGCATAAATGATTGCTGTATCATCAGAAGTAAATGTATAGCAATTCATTGGGCATTGTAGAGTATCACAAATATATCAAAGTAGACTATATATTTTTTTGACAGGCAGAGTTAGACAGTGAGAGAGAGAGACAGAGAAGACTTTATATTTTTGGCCGGCGCTGCGGCTCACTAGGCTAATCCTCCACCTGCAGCGCCGGCACCCCGGGTTCTAGTCCCGGTTGGGGCACCAGATAATGTCCTGGTTGCTCCTCTTCCTGTCCAGCTCTCTGCTGTGGCCCAGGAGGGCAGCGGAGGATGGCCCAAGTGCTTGGGCCCTGCACCCCATGGGAGACCAGGAGGAGGCACCTGGCTCCAGGCTTCGGATCAGCGCAGCGCGCCGGCTGCAACGAGCAGCCATAGTGGCCATTTGGGGGGTGAACCAACGGAAAGAAGAACTTTCTGTCTCTCTCTCACTGTCTAACCCTGCCTGTCCCCCCCACCCAAAAAAAAAAAAAAAAAAGAGCGAGAGAAGACTTTATATTTTAAAGATAAATGTGTTCACTTATTTTCTGAAATTGCTTTCATAAAAATGTTCCCTATACAATTGCTGGTTTTTGTAGCATCTTTTTAATACATTTTTACTACCCAGACTTTGTGTTTCAACCTGTGTCTTTTTTGGACGACTATAAACTAAAAAAATTCTTTTTTGTTCAGGTAAGAAAAATAATTTTACAGTGAAAAATGTTTCACTGTAGCTCGTGATGAGACAGGGGTTATTCCACTTATTAGTTTGCACACAATTGTGAGTAAAATATAGTTGCTTAGTTCTAATTCAGAGTATTTGGAATGGTAAAAATTCCAGTTCTTCAAAAGAGGTCAATGAATAAAAAAATGATTTTTCTGAAAATCAATTATATCACTTATATTAAAGCCTTGTGTACTAATTGTGAGCTACATATCAGCAATTACAAGTCACGAAGCAGATAACATAGGCCTGATACTACTGCCGAGAGCAGAGGTCCTCTTTGGAACCAACTCAGCTCTTATGAAACCATTTGATATGAAAACCATCTCTCTGGCTTTAACTTTTTGCAAAACTGAATATCCAGAAGTAGTTTGGCATGCAGATCCCATGATTCCAAATGCACATCTTTGCATGGTTGTAAGATTTCAAAGACATTTAAGTCTCTAGGACAACTTAATAAACTATCAATTTGTTTATTTGCTCCTAATAAATTGTTAGTTGTAGAAAAAAATAAACTATCAATTTGCTTTTTTAAGTATCTGATCTCTAATCTTAAAAATGAAAGAAACTTTTAAAATAACTGTTGGAAAATTTATATAATCAGTGGAACAGATTAAGTGCACATAGGTTTTTTCCCCTACTGAAGTGGTATTAGAATCTCTCTCTTCCTTTAATGAGTTTTGCTGTCAACTTTATCATGTGATCTGATTCTAAATGTTTTTAACTTGAGAATCACTGTCTTGGCTTGCCTAAAAAAGTACAAATTGCAAAGGGAGTGTCATAATATCTTGCTTCTCTTAGGTGAAAATGACCCATGCAGATGTTCAGGTAAAGGAAATTTGGCCTGGCTATCAAATGGTCATGGATGAAACAAACAAGAATTTCAACTGAAGCCTGAGATTTGCAATCTACATCACTGCTTTTCCACTGAGTAGCATATGAATTGACAATATGATCATCTACTTTCTGTTATCATTAGCTGATTGTATTATTGGTTAAAGCCAGCCTATGAGGATGAACATATAGCTTAATATGCAAATCAAATAAAATGTGAAATACACTTATTTATGATATACTTGCATTATAGAAAGTATGATTAAAATTTAAAGTAATTTAAAAAATTAAAAGTAATTTTTAAAAAGATTTATTTATTTGAAAGGCAGTTACAGAGAGAGAAGGAGGGACAGAGATTGATCTTCCATCCACTGGTTCACTCCCCAAATGGCTGCAATAGCTGGGGTTGTGTCAAGCCAAAGCCAAAAACTAGGAACTAGTTCTCACTGGGTTCTGCTACTTTGTGCCCCAGCAGACTGACTCTTTCCTATTACCTCCCACTACACCCCACTCTCCAGATGCTCTGGTTACTGTCGTTTCTACTGAAGTTTGTTTCAGCAATTTCTACACTGGTTTGGATATTCCTGGTAGGACGCACTATGGTGATTGATTAACACTATTTTGTAAATAAAAAAAAAAGTATTGTAGTATTGTATGCGCACTTGTGTGTCACCTGTGTTACAATCATTTGGGTTCCATTTCAGGCTTTGGCTCTGGTTACTAACGTGGAGTTAGCCAAACTATAGTTTGAGTGCATGATCATTTCTGACACCCACTGCAAGGAGTCCAGCTACAAAGTAAAAAGGGAAAATTTATACAAGATTTCTCTCTGACTTCTGCACCAACTTAAAAGTCAGTAGTTTCCCAAAACTACCCTTGTGCTTGCTAATTCACGAGAAAGGCCCACAGTAATCAGGAAGGCTGTTACACACCTGGTGATGACCAATTGTAATGCAGGGGAACAGAGGATTCCACATGCCCTTAGCACATACTGCCTTCTCGGCACTCGTGGGTGATAAACACACATGCAGTGCTGCCAACCGGAGAAGCTGACCCAGGTCTCCCCGTGAGCAGAGCTGTTATTGTGGTCCTATTAGGTAAGCGTGATGGATTGACTGCCTCTATAGTTGAGATTCAGCCTCCAGGTTAACTGATACCACATGATTCAAAGACCCAATTCTAAAATCACATGGCTGAGCTTTCTGGTGTGGTCTGCTCTCATCTGAAGATTATCAGTCATGGCCAGCCACATTCTCAAATAAAAACATTCCAGATAGTTATGATACAAATTTCCAGAAGCTACAGGCAAAGTCCAGACTCCACTGTAAACTATGTAACATCTCTAATCCTGTGTTTTTTCATCTGTAAAATAAATGTAATCATACTTTCCCTATGACTTTCAAGCCTTAATTCATGAAGAAATGCTGTAATCCTCTATATTTAGAAAAAAATCCCAGCTAGTAAAAATTTAAAAAAAAAAAAAAAACCTCTTCATTTCTGCTAGAATGAGGTAGCTTCTCTGTCTGAGAGAATACTGTCAAATGGCCCCCACCACAAATCCCATTTTCCAAAGATAATTCTGATTGCATCATGTCCTCAGACAGGCTCTCCCATTTTCAGGGGAACGGTACCTTGTGGTGAGATGTCCACTGTACCAACCACTGGCAGGAGAGCCATAAAATACGGCCAGGCAATTGATTTATATATATTTCTTCTTAAAGCACTGAAAAATGCTAAAAATGGAGAGGATTTTCTAAGATGACAGTATACAGGAACCTGATTTACGGATTAGTTATTATGAGCTCTGATACTACGAGGGCACTCAGTGCTTTTCACCAAGCACAGGTGCACAGAAATAAGATTCCCGCCTGTCCTGGAGAACAGCATTATCTGCATGTGTGTTCGATATGAAGTACAAGAATTAAAGAAGCAAATTTCATATTTTAGTAATGTGACTCTAAAGCCACAAATGAATGTGGGTATGCTTATGGTTTGGAAAATTTTCCACAATCAAAAATATCAGAAAATGAATTTTAGATGTTGTTTTTATATTTTGTACTCAGTATGTGCAGCATCTTGCAAATATCTTTTAAATAATATGTATGGCTACAGTCATGTAAAATGAAAAGTACCCCAAACACCTTGAATAATATGAAGAAATTTGTTCATTTCATAATTTCAGCTTTAAAAATAAATATTTAGAGGTTTCTAAGGTAAGTAGCTTTGTTGCCATGGATCACTCAAATTTGTAAAATACACATTTGTAAAATTGTAAAATCTAAGAAAGTATTCCAGTCATTAAGAAAGGGTATTCAGGGGCTGGCACTGTGGTGTACAAGGTTAAGCCTTGGTCTGCAGTGCCGGCATCCCATAGGGGTGCTGGTTCAAGTCCTGGCTGCTCCACTTCTAATCCAGCTTCCTGCTAATGCACCAGGTAAAGCTGCGGAAGACGGCCCAAGTCCTTGGACCTCTGCACCCACGTGGAAGACACAAAAGAAGCTCCTGGCCCCTGGCCTGGGCTGGCCCAGCTCTGGCAGTTGTGGCCATTTGGAGAGTGAACCAGCACATGGAAGATTGATCTCTCTCTCCTTCCTTCTCTGTATCTCTGCCTTTCAAATAAATAAATACATCTTTTTTAAAAAGGGTATTAAAATCAGCTTTGAATAGAATAAACTTTAAGTGGAAGCATGAGAAGACTTTTTTAAAGGTAAACGTAGAAGAATGGAATGGAAAAAACTGGGGAACGGAGATCTTTGCAGACTTCAAAAAGTTCACGGAAAATGTGAATTATCTTTTCATTCCATTTTTCTGTAACCTGTATTTTTAAGGGACTTTTGTGTTTGAGTTGGCACTCAGTGGCACTTGTGAACCATTAACTTCAATTACACGGAAAACCCCAAACAAACCCTGGGCATTGTAAATCTCATTAATTTTTAAACACATGGGGACTGGAATAAATGGACTTTGAATTAACTCAATCCAAATTACCTGATATGAAAACATAATTGCAATTCCGTTGCCTGAAATCAGTCGCCAGTTGAAAATGCAGAATAGTTTGCTATGCTAAGGTTTATTACAATTTTATCTGTTTTGAAGTTTCATAGGAATGTTTTCATAAAACATGAGTCTGAGATTGAGAAAATAAGGGATTTTAACGGACATTTCCATATAATTTTGTAAACCTCGGGGAGCATTTCATCAAATGTCCCTTCTTTAAGGGGGGGATCTTTGAGTTGCTTAAGTAAAACATTCAATTCAAAACATACAACTGCAATCCTCAAGCACACCCGCTAATGCGTCATCAAGAAAATCAGGACTCGCGTATTTCTAGACTTCCTGCTTTGTTTCTACAGCAGTAAGGTAAAGCATAATATTAACATGAGCCTAACAACGAGAGTGAAAATGTGAAGAAATATGCTATAAGAGAAAAACAATGGAAATGTTGCTAAAATGAGATATTTTCAAAAACCAAAGAAAAATCACCTTGAAAAATCTGCTGCTTTTGGAAAGTCTGGTGTCCTTGGTCCCATCTACTTGTAGACAGTAAAGTCACCATATAAACTTTTAATATTTTTGTGTTGTTTTACCAAAGTTTCTATTTCTTAGATCTTAAAATAATCTCTGATTGGAGGCAGGCCACATTTCCTGAGGGATCCTGTTATTAATACCCTCATTTAAGTAAAGAATTATGAAACACAGAATAACGTCCATCCTATGTGCCTTACAGAAAGCTTTAAAGATTAGCCCCCTGTACCCAACCCACTTGGAACACAGTAACACCCACAGACAACACGTGAAGGCTTATACCTGAGAAAAAATGTGCTTTGAAGCCCTTCTTGGACACAGTATTATCAGACTTGAACTCGATTCTCATGTTGTTGAACTGGGACGTGATCACTTCGGGCACTTCAGCTCCACAGAACTTGCCGTGTAACTTAGCCTCAGAGGAAAGCCCACTCCAGATCTCCACATAATCATATTTGCAAACCTGCAAAACACGTTAATGTGGTCAACAGACCCGAGAGTCGCAGATGATTGACATTCACACATGCATTGCGTTTTTATTCCTGTATCTAGTATGATGTTTTTATTCCCCTCTTTATTCCTGTGTTAATGTTAAATCAAGCTGAAATAAACAGGTAAAGGAAAGATAAACAAGACTAGCACAGGGCTCAACCATGAGTCTGAAGGGATGAAACAATTAGAGAGATGAGAGCCCCAGAGGGTGCACACACATATGTATGCTTGTTTACATCTTTCCTAAAATATTAAAGGAGAGTTGAGATGAATGTTTGTTGAGGCATAGGCACTGATAATCACAAGACAAGCAACTCTGCCCTTTCAAATCAAACTCCTGAAACCTTCACCAGGGACTGTGAAAATACTTCTTACATGTGGTCTTATTTAATATTGACAGTATATGACATAGCCTATGAAATCACCAATAGCAACAGAAACTGTACTTTCTATGGTAGAGATGAGAAAACTTAGCTCTAGAAATTTTTTATACAACGTGGTCAACATTTTCTTAGCCTACAAGGCAAGGTGGTGATGAACAGCACGGAGTGTGGTTTAGAACCGGGCTGTCTCACAAGAAAGCCACATTCTAATCAGAGCTGCACCATAAACAACTTTCCAAGTGAAAGACAGATACTTGGTATATAAAAAGCAGACGTTTTGCCTTTCCAATTTGCTAACGTCTTGGAGTTGCTACGTACTAGCAAGTTACTCTGTATGATTACTGTAGAATTGCAAACAGACTGGAACTCTAGTAAATGGGACAGAGGCAAAAATCTAGCTCATTGTGACTTACATGAAATGCATTAACAACAAAAGGGAAAAAGCTAAGTGAATCTCAGGCAATAAGCACTGTTGTGGCCACTAACAAACATTTTGTGAATACACTTTCCCAAAGTTTCTGTAATAGGACATGTTCTATAGAGTATATGTTGTATGAATGACCTTCTTACATAAATGTTTAATTAGCAACACTTAACAGTTTGCAAAGGATCTTTCTGCAACTGAGGAGGACCCCATGAGAATCATGCTTTGAGAAAACAAAGCTCAATTTACGTAAAACCTGAACAGAAACCTTCAGCCTTTTAAGCAACACCTATCAAAAATGAGTCAAAGAATGTCACATCCGTCATAACTATAGTTTTATGGAAAACCATGAAAACAGAAGTCATTCAACACTGAATTCATATGAAATCACAGAATGGGTAGTAAAATTGAGATTTTCAAAATGTGTAGCTCATAAAAAGTTTTTGCAAAAATATTACAAAAATCATTTTCATTATTTCGATACTTCCCACAAACTCAAGCTAGTTTGTAAAGAAAAAATATATTAATGTGGATAAAGTATGCTGAAAAGAGTAACTCTATTCTTTTCTATCATGAAACTTAATCATGATGTTAACAGAAAAAAGCTGAAGACGTCCAGTCAGTTCTAGGCTTCTACAGTTCTCTGAAATACATCTTTATTATGGTTCAGATTTCAATTCCCTTTAGGTAATGAAATAGCTATATCTTTTACATTGAAACCACTGATATGGACTAATCTCATGGTATAAAATGCACAGATATTACAAACACCTCAACACGTACTGCCCTCAGGCACACATGCCTTACATTTCTGTTCTCACACTTCTTTGCAAGTGTTCATCAGATATACATCAAAGACATGAGTTATTTTTAATCACGTTTAGAGGTGATGAGTCATGTTCATTTTCAAATAAACACAGAAACTAGTTATTGGGACCAAAGGTGTGGAAGAAGTTAGTAAGAGAAAATCAAGTATGAGAGATTAAATAAATACTTATAACCTTTTCTCTGGAATTAAACTTGTGTAGACCAATCATACAAAGGACATTCTTCAACAAGTTCTCATTCTTATTTCTAGGCTTGCCATTCATTTATATTTGGTGTACTGTCATATAGAAACTTTCAAATAAATAACTTCACTTGTTTAAATGTGGTTACCTAGCAGAAAATGCTACTATTGATACAGTATGCAATAATTTATAGAAGATAGCTTCAGCTCAACATGTCTTACCGAGGTTAAAAAATTAATTATTTATTTATAAAGCATGCACACATTCATAATGAAAAATTACTTTCATAATGAAAATACACCCATTTCTACAAATAAGATATACCAAGTTGTTCCAAATGGATATTTTTGTTATGACTCAAATCAAAATCCACTGGGTATTTTTTTCCCAGCCATGACATGAAGCTGACCCTAAATACTCCAAGTCTCTAACAAATGGAGAAAATGGTGTATATTAACTACATGAATTAGAAACTCCCTCTAGGTAATTTCCTATCTCCCAGAAACAATCTAAAATAGAGTACTATGCTCTTTTTTAAAAAAAGTTTTCTGATTTGCCTTCAGGGATTCCTTCATTTTTAAAAAAAATCTATTTATTGCTCACTTACTTCATTGCCTTCCAATTCAAAAAACTCAAACTTCATAGATATTCTGTACTGGGTTGGTGCAACCACTTGCCACACACAGTTTTTATTAGGAGGATACTCTTTGGGCCATCCTGGGGTGGTGATGGTGCCATTAAGCTTGGTAAGAAGTCCGCCACAAGCAGCTAGAAGAAAGAAAAGGAAGGGTATTCCCTTATTAAAGTCACCCCCTTCTTAGCACAGTTCCACTGATACCCAAACATTCAAAATAGCCAAGATACAGGACCTACCAGGATATGAATGAATGGATGAAGAAAATGTGGCACATAATAAAATGGAATAGTATTCAGCCATAAAAAAGAATGCAGTCCTGACATTTGCAATGCATGGATGGAAGTGGAGGTCATTATGTTAAACAAAGTCAGGCACAGAAAAGTCAGTACCAAATGTTCTCACTGTATGTACAAGGTAAGTTGATCTCATAGAAGTAGGGAGGAGAATAGGGTTGACAGAGGCTAGGAAGGTTGGGCAAAGAGAAGATGGAGAGAGGTTAGTGACTGGGTACAGAAATCAAGTTAGATAAATAGAAAAAGCACAAGTGGTCTCTATATAGTACAGTAGGGTGACGATAATTAACAGTTATTTACTACAGATTTCAAAATACCCATAAGAGAAGTTTTTCAATACTCCCAACACAGAAAAACAATAATTATGCTGATGTGATCACTACACATTGTACACATGTAAAGAAATAACATACTGTGCGTCATGAATACATGTAATTATTAGGTGTCAATTATATAAGTGAATGAAAAAACCGCCTTCTGGATTCCAACAGACACTGAAGCTACTGTTCTTTAGTTTTTAGAACAACTATGGCAATCATGAAACCACAGTTACAAAGTACCACTTTGCAGCTTTGCAACCAGGCAGATAAGAGGTACAACAATATTTTAGATCACTTTAATCTTTGGCAATCAACCTAAAGGAAACTGGGTGTCAGTTTTTGTATCTCTTAAATGGGTTCACCATAATAATATCTTGTAGTGTGCCTTGGGTACTTCAGAATTAACAGAAAGAATACATTTTAGAATTGATAGAGTTGTGATAAGGAAAAGATATATGTAAAGCATAATATAGTCTAAAATCATTCTTTCTTCAATCTCTTTTTTGCCAAGACAAGCAATGATGTATTACCTGAGTCAGCGGGCAAGATAAATTATGACAGATACAACATATTTGTTATTCCACAAATCTCTGTTTAACAACTGGTTTTCATTTCCTGTGGATGATCTATTTAAGAGAGACACCATTTACTTCCCTTCTTTGCTAACAGCGAAGTTAGCAAAATCAAAGTATCCCAGAGCAAGTTGTGTGAAAAGATCATATACACATTTTATAACTAATTCCCAGGGAGTCAAGAATTGCTTAAACTAAATGGTCTCTTTGATTTTATGTACATGTCACTGGTGTGCCAAGTCCTCTTTTTGAAAGGTATGGCATTTTGTTCATAACAATGTATCTTAATTAACAGAGAGAGGATTAAGTGTTTAATAGACAAAAAAAGATCAACTTTTACAAAGAAATAAGGAATCACTGTTTTTTTAGGTTGGCAGATATGGAATGAATTCATTAAGGAAACACCTTAGGCACCTTTGCCTCTTACATCCTCTAGCAGAGACACAGTAGAGAACAAAGTGCTTATTTTCAGGGAGCTTGCATTTCAGTGGAACACACCAAAACAAGTTAATAAATACAAAAATGCAAGTATTGCTGCAAGTCCTGTGGTGATGCATTCGACAGGAATTTCTAAAGAGGAATAAAGGGGGGAACAGACTGCAGGAATGAAGATCCAAATGTTTATTCTCTCTCCAGTCTGAGGTGTGAGGCCTCTGCTAGGGTGGAGGAGAGGGAAATGAGAGAGGCAGCTTTAAATGTGAGGGCAGAGATCTTAGGACATGGTAAGACAGCCTGGCAAACAAAACCTCACATGGGATTGTAAAGAAGAAATGTGGATAACCATGACAAAGACATCTCTGTTTAAAGAAGCATTTATTCATGAAATGCATGTCTGGTTTTAGGCTAGATGCTTTCTGTCTACTACATGCTGGAGGTAACAAAAGCAAATCCGGTTTAGGGCTGCTGACTTAGAGACCACAGAGACCACAGTAAGAAAATATCAAGTCATGGATGGATGGATGGGTGAGTGGGTGGGTGGGCAAATAGGTGGGTAAAATATCTAGATTTAGAAAGAGACAGAAATGCATACATGCACACACAACAGCGTAGTAACCAAAGGAGGACAGAATTGATTACATAACAAGAATTTGTTATCAGCTGTGACTTTGAATTAAGTCTTAGTAGTTTTTGGAAAGAGGTTATTATAGGGGACAAGAAAGGCATGAGGGAAAGATAGAGATAGAGATAGAGATAGAGATAGAGATAGAGATAGAGATAGAGATAGAGATAAGGATGGAGACAGAGTTAGAGATACAGAGAGCACATGAGAATACAAAACAGTCATCCCTCCATAAGTGGTTCTTCAACACCTCTGGATAAGGAACTCTGTGGCTGCACAAGTCCCTTATACAAAATGGTGCCGCATGTGCAAATAACCTGTGCACACCCTCCTGTATACTTCAAATCATTTCTAGAAGACCTGCAATATCTAATACAATGTAAATGTTATGGGAATAGTTGTCTCACTATCCTGTTTAGAGAATACATACAAGAAAAATGAAAGAAGGCTGCACTTGCTGAGCACAGGCTTAATTTCTTTTTGGAATATTCTGGAACAGTAGCTGATTGAATTCGCAGAGGGGCAACCCGTGGATGTGGAAGGAGGACTTGGGCAGCAATGAGGGTGCGCGCAGGTGCTGCCCGGGCCCAGCCATACCTTCGCAGCTCCTCCTGTCCGGCCCCAGCTCGTAGCCCGGCTCACAGGCACACTGGTAGCTGCCCAGGGTGTTCAGACACCGCTGCTCACAGCCGCCTCGGTCAGCTTTGGCGCACTCGTCTTCCTCTGCAAAAACGGCAGAGTTACAGGATGACCACCATGTTGTGCTTTCATAGGCCATGTTTGAAAACAGGATTCTACCTGGCTCTGAGGACAACGAAGACAACGACTCACCTCTCCGACACAAGAAGAGGGAACACAGCCTTTGCTGGATGACTTGCAAGAATTCAGGTCCCGCAACCCAGGAATTAGAGAAGCAGGCTAAGTCCTGGACCTACAGCAGGGCCACCCAGAGCCCACGTTATCCCAGCGTGTGTTTGCTCTGAATTTGAGCTTAGAAGGGGATGATTAATGAAATAATAAAAAAAAAAACAGCTGCAATAGCATAGCTTCACCTACTGATTTCACAGAATAGTTGCAAGATATGTCTCAAAATGTTTTTAAAGAAATAACATTAAGAAAGAGATTGTGGGAATAAAAATTAAAAACAGATGAAAATCCTAAATTCACTGGACCTCTTTCAATTGAAAGCCTTTGGTGTTTCTTACAAATACATTTTGAGCCAGAAAATATAACTATCTCACATGTTTGTGAATGTATATACTATTTAACTGTATATATACATATGAAAATATGCATAGGAAATATATATGAAATATGTTATTTTCATTTTCTAGATTTATTTATTTATTTGAAAGTCCGAGTTACAGCAAAAGAAGGAGAGACAGGGTGAGAGAGAAATCTTCCATCTATTGGTTCACTGCTGAAATGGCCACAGTGGCCAGGGCTGGGCCAGGCCAAAGCCAGGAGCCAGGAGCCAGGAGCTTCATCTGGGTCTCCCATGTGAGTCTTTGCTGCTTTCCCAGGTTCATTCGCAGGGAGCTGGATCGGAAGTGGAGCAGCTGGGACTTAAACTGGTACCTATATGGGATTCTGGCACTATAGGTGATGGCTTTACCAGCTATGCAATGGCGCCAGCCCCAAAACATATATTATTTTAAAAAAATGTATGACAGAAAATCTTAAACATATAAATGAACATTTGAATAAATATTTTAATACATGCAGTAAAAGTGTCAAGTTGCTCTGCTTTTTTAATTCATATGGTGAATATTTAAGCAACTCAGAGAAAATGTGTTTTACTGTTTTTTAAGTAACAAAATATTTAGGTTATCTGTAAATTTTCATATATACAACTGAGTACATTATGTATCCTATAAAATTAGTATAGAGGAAACATTTTTCTCTTTCTTCATAACAATTTTATTGCACAATGACACACTTAAAATAATTTCCTATGAATTTCAGAAAGCATATTTGATGCTATTTACCCCAAAGCAACTTTCTTATCTCAGTAATATGCAGCTAACATGGAACTAGAAAGCAAACTGAAATGCAGTTATGTAACCACAAATTAAAGTTGATCAGTTCTGTCTTTGTCAAAAAGACACTTTAGATATCAGAAGATCCTGTTAAGGAAGCCACCGGGAATTTCCCAGGGGGGAACAGCATCCTGTAAAGCTGAGTTTAGACGCGCTGGCATCTGGAAATAAATCGATTGTCTGTGTGTCAGTGCACTCTCTTCTCATTGGGAATCTTTTATTGATTATATGCACTGCAGATATTTAGTCCTGTCTGTGTATCCCTTTCTGGATTTTGCTAGTTTGACTATTTCATAAGAAACAGATGGTTGAGTGCCCTAACGGAGTTCTTACTCTGTGCTTCAACGTTGTTTTACAAAAAAAATGTTTTCCACCAAAACATATCAAATCATCCTTATAAACTGTACCTACTCCAACTTTTAATACAATTTTAATTTCGTCCTCCCCTGGAAGCTAGATGCTGTATTTACTCCAAAGAAAGTTCCTCATTCGTAAAGGACTTCCGATTACCTTTAAAGAAGTTAGCGGCAAACCCAGCCTTGTTCACAGTTCCGTCAGAAACAAACTTCATCCACAAGGTGTTGGAGGTAGATCTTATGTCTTCAGGCTTATCATAACCACAGAAACGCCCTATCAAAGGGCTGTTTTCGCTGGTTCCATCTCGAACCTCTAGGTAGTCATAGGCACAGTTGTCATGTCTTTCAATCTACAACAGTGAATATAAATCTTATTAATAGATGAAACAGGGGCTGGTGTTGTGGCACAGCAGGTAAAGCCGTGACCTGCAGTGCCCACATCCCATATGAGCACCGGTTCTTGTCCAGGCTGCCCCCTCTTCCGATCCTGCTCCCTGCTAATGTGCCTGGGAGAGCAGTGGAGGATGGCCCAAGAGCTTGGGCCTCTGCACCTACACGGGAGACCCGGAAGAAGCTCCCAGCTCTTAGCTTTGGCCTGGCCCAGTCTAGCTGTTGCAGCCACCTAGAGAGTGAACCAGTGGCTGGAAGATTTCTCTCTCACTCTGTCTCTCCCTTTCACTGTAATTCTGACTTTCAAATCAATAAATAAATAAATATTTTCTTAAAAAATAGATGAAACAATTCTTATAGGAAGATAATTAAGTACTCTCAGTGTTATAGTACTGACATAGTAAGACTGAAGATGACTTATATTACGTAAGTGCACATAAGCATTCCTTATGAGTGTATATGATAATGCATTGCACATTTTTATTACGAAAACAATACAGGGACAAGTACTTTACTTGGGTCAGGATCAACAGAAGATAACTAACTTTTTAAATGAAATTAACTTCTAAGTACTGATTCTTTAGTAACTAAACCTGAAAAAAATACCCAGACTTAAAATGATCATTGAAAACACTGGCCATATAAACTGTAAGCAATGATTTGTTCTGAAACATAGTCATAAAAATAGCCCATCACTCATCAACAGAATCATTATTTTATTCACAGAGAAGCTGAATCCAAATTTCCTTAACAAATGTAGTACAAGTTTAGGCTACAAATATAATTTTGAAAAGTGACTCTGATAATTCTAGAGGACATTTCTTTCTAGTTGATGACTCTATCCATAATTAGCATGACTGTATGTAGACTACTGCTTGACTGTGGAGTCAGCACTGTCTTGCCCTTTCTCAAGGTAACATGGCCTTGTTTGGATGAGCCCTGCCACCTCGACACACTCTTCTTTAATCAGATAACCTGGGGAAATGCAAGCTCTTTCCTTATCAACGATCACACTATCGGTCTATGTCTATGAAATTTTATGGAAAACATATTCAACGACCTGTGTTTTGGTCCTGAACTCCTTAAAGCCACAGAACGAAAACTTACAAATTATTTTAAAAATAATAATAATCTTTAAATAATATTTTTGCTTTTAATTTCAAAATCTTAAGAGTCAACTCCCTATTAGATATTTGAAACTAGAAAACAGATACACTAATCTACAAATCAAAAACCATTGAAAGAACCACACGTTATCTATCATTCATCATACAATTCAGTAACTTGTCCATTTTCTTGTTACAAACCAATGTCAGGAAATAGATTCTTTCCTTGTAGCTACAACCTGAATGCATGAGACTGCTGTTGTAGTTGCTAGAAATCTCTTTTTTTATCAATATATAGACAGCAATAGTCTTCAAATTAGGTAGCATAAGGACAACCAGAAAAAAAAATTTGGGGGGAAATACAAATGTAGCTGGAACTAAGTACTGCATTTGCTGCTTCCTTTTCCCAAATCAAAAAACAGGATTCATTCATTCTTTCATCAAATACTCCGCGTCTCCTCTCTGTGCTAGGCACTCTTCTCTGTGCCTGGGTACCTGATGTGCATCATTCACTTAGCAAAACAACAAAGAACCTGTCCTGCTGGAACCCACATTCTACTGACAGAAAAAACAATAAAACCACTGAGTGGGGCTGGCACTGTGGCTAGTGGGCGACGCCTCCACCTGCGGTGCTGGCATCCCATCGTGGGTTTGTGTCCTGGCTGCTCCTCTTCTGATCCAGCTCTCTGCTTACGGCCTCGGAGAGCAGTGGAAGATGGCCCACATCCTTGGGCCCCTGCACCCACGTATAAGATCTGGAAGAAGCTCCTGGCTCCTGGCTTTGGGTCAGCCCAGCTCCGGCTGTTGTGGTCATCTGGAGAGTAAACCAGCGGATGGAAGACCTTTCTCTCTGTCTCTCCTTCTCTGTCTGAAAGTCTGCCTCTCAAATAAATAAATTTGAATAATCTTTTTTTTAAAAAAATCACTGAATCATCAAATATTAAAAAGTAGTAAATTCCTTGGAAAAACATAAAGTGAAACAAGCTAAGAATTAGAAGGGCGGATCTTTATGCTAGCAGGTAGGAGGCTTGTTAAGATATCTGTGTCCCACAGGTGAATATTGGGTATGATTTTCAAACCCAGCTCCTGATTATAGCTTCCTGCTGATGTGGATCCTGAGAGGCAGCAGGAGATAGCTCAACTGGTGGGTTTCCCACTACACATAAGGAAGCCTGAATTGAGTTCCCAGCTTCTGGATTCAACCTAGTTCAGTCCTGGTCAGCATGGAGATTGGTTAGTCAATCAGCTTACGGGAGCTGTCATTCTCTCTCTGTTGGTCTCTGCCTCTCCGATAATAACTTAACTTTAAAGGGATCTCAATTATTCTCTTCCTTTGCACCAATTAAAATAAATACACATTTTTTTTAGAAAGGGGAGGAAAGTTTGCAGTTTTGAAATGCCTTCAGGGAGGGGCTCACTGAATATGATTCATAAATCTAGATTTTGTTCCTGAAAATAAATCCTCTTTATATGTGGGGTTAAAGAATACATGAAAAAATATTTGCATAAACAATGTCTTGTTTCAAAGCACACTTTAAAAACGGATGCTGTTTAAATAGGGATTGATTCAGAGCTGGCAGGGCACAGTTCTTCCAGCTACTCACCAGGGATAACAGGTGCATACGACACTCTCTGGTCTCAATCTTTCATACACTGTCTTCTTCATAAATATGAGAATGTTCCCAGATGGCCAAAGGCCATTCATCCGTCAAAATGGTATCTACAGGCCGGCGCCACGGCTCACTAGGCTAATCCTCTGCCTTGCTGCGCCGGCACACCGGGTTCTAGTCCCGGTCGGGGCACCGGATTCTGTCCTGGTTGCCCCTCTTCCAGGCCAGCTCTCTGCTGTGGCCAGGGAGTGCAGTGGAGGATGGCCCAAGTGCTTGGGCCCTGCACCCCATGGGAGACCAGGAAAAGCACCTGGCTCCTGCCATCGGATCAGCGTGGTGCACCGGCCGAAGCGCGCCCGCCGTGGCGGCCATTGGAGGGTGAACCAACGGCAAAGGAAGACCTTTCTCTCTGTCTCTCTCTCTCACTATCCACTCTGCCTGTCAAAAAAAAATGATATCTACAACTTTCAAGGTATGGGATTTGATAAATGAATAAGCAACACTGAACCAGTGACAAAGCTGCAGGGGAAATAACCGAAGGTCCCAGCAAGTCGTCCTGGCCTCCCCTGCTTCGAGCAGGCAGAACTGCTCCTGATTTTCAACTTGTACTGGAACACTGGGGCTGGGGAGTATTTTAATAAGATTGCTTTAAAAAAAATCACAGTGAGGGGCTGGTGCTGTGGCGCAGCGGGTAAAGCCATGGCTTGCATTGCTGGCATCTCATTTGGGCACCGGTTGAAGTCCCAGCTGCTCCACTTTCGATCCAGCTGTCTGCTTTGGCCTGGGAAAGCAGTAGAAGATGGCCCAAGTCCTTGGGCCCCTACACCCACATGGGAGACCCAGAAGAAGCTCCTGGCTTTGGATCGGCCCAGCTCCGGCTGTTGCGGTCAACTGGTGAGTGAACAAATGGATAGAAGACCTCTCTCTCTACCTCTCTTTCTCTCTGTGTGTAACTCTTTCAAATAAATAAATAAATCTTAAAAAAAAAAAACCCACAGTACTACGAATGAAGAAAATAAGACACATGATTGAAGAAAATGAAACAAAAGTCTACATTTCCTCAGTTATTAAGAAGAAATGGGACAACAGATATTGTCTTCATAAAATTCACACTTTTCTTCTAACAGATACACAATAGATTGCTATAATTTTAATATAAAGTATATTCACTGGTTACTTAGCTAAAATTGGATGTTTAAGTATTTCATATGATACACAAACTATAAATATTTCATGGGTAAAATGTATAAAAATGGGCATTTTAGGATGAAAACCATTAGTATATAGTTATCTATATTGTTTATTAAATATTACCTGTCTGGTATGGAGTAAGGAAACAGAAACATAGACTGTAGTCCCACATAGTAAATGCCAGTTGTTGAGTTGGCTAGACAATACAATACGCATCATACAAAAGTTCATAATATTCAGTAATGCAGTACTCCCAGCAGCAAGCCTGGATACCTCAACAGTGACCGGAATGTTCTGTCCTTTCCCAGTTCATTCCCAAGTGCAACGCCTGCACGATGAGCCGACGCTATCGTGTCAATGATAATATGTTAGGAGTCATAACAGGGAACGCAAATCAAAGTTTGGGCTGTATTACTTATGCTATTTGTGCAACTTTTTCTCCAGCTACCTCAAGTTTCTTCATCAATTAATGTTCAGAATGGATACAAGGAAATATAGCTGGGGCTAAAAATCAAGTCCATTGATGCTATGCCAGTAACCTTAATTTCCATGAGAAAAAGAACACCCAAATCAATGATATATGAAAACAAAAACAAAATAAAAAACAAAAAGCAGTCCCTTCTTGAGCTACAGCATGCACACAATTCAAAGACCTGGGAGCTGAACACAAAGTCATGCATAATTACACATATAATAAATGCGTCTTGATAATGATGGTGCTGACTTCTTACAGATTTTGAGGTAATCAGAGCATACATCGTACATAAGTATGGCCGGTATATCATAACATAAACCGGACCTAATATGCACATAGAAATTAAAGTGAAAATGATAGAAAACTCTAAAAAATTTCAGAAAATTAATAATTAAATGATATTGGAATCAGATCCCAATATGCAAAGAAGGAAGAACGAGTACTATGACTTGCTAGATGGGTTAATATTGTATTTCATTACTAAGTGGGGAATCACACCTCTAATGGCCTAGTAGACAGAAACCACAGAAAACTGCGGAGATTTCCACTTGGCAAAAACAAAAGTAAATTGAATTGAA